CTCACGAAGACTTCTGTTACTGTAGATTCGACTGAACAACGAGCTCTTGAATGAACGGGACTTCAAATAGTAAACTAATAATATTAATTAGATTATAGGTAGAAATTCAAACCTTAGTATAAACCAGGAAGAGAAACCCTAAACCGCAGACAACACAATTTCGTAATTACAACAAAATTGGATCTTAACCTAATGAATAAACCCTAATTCACATACCTTATTGTGCATCAAAATCGAGCATCCAGGCTTAAGCTGATCTTTATCAACGAACGACAATATCCCAACGTAATACTCAGGCCCAACAGAAGAAGAAACGATTGCGTGATTCTCATCAATCAACTCTAGCAGATTTCCAACACTCATCGGTGTTCCACAAAGATCATCGATAGAACACCTATTCATTAGCCGATCCAATTTCAGTAACCGGAGCTTGCACTGTCACCGTCGGGAGTCGAGCCGCCGCCTCAGAACCTTTATGTTTCCTCTGCTTTCTCCCGACACGAGCCGGTGGTGCAGCCGGCTCGAACTTCTTCTCTTTCTTCTCGCCACCATCAGGTTTCCGATCTCCTTGCCGATTTAAACCTCCCGATGGTCTTTGACCCATGATTGTATTAAGGCTTTATTCAAATATAAGCCCATTGATTACTTTTCCATAATTATGTAATTAGTACTAAAAAATAAGAAAATGCATGCAGATGAATTATAACAAACACAAGATTTCACCTCACCAAAAAAGAACATACACAAACACAAGATTTCATAAAGATACAAATCATGCAAATCAATCATTCCGTTAAACAAAAAAAATCAATAGATTTGTTTGCATTTCTACACGAACGTCGAACGTTAATCAAATTTGCTTTCCTTATTCTTTATTATCGGGAAAAAAAAATAAAACAACCAGTCTGTTGATCAATTAAATGGGATATTCCAAACAAATTCCAAAAAATATTACAAAACTAAACAAATTTATTTTGTTACAACCGCTAAGATTTATATGCATTCAAATTAAACTCAAAATTTGCATATAAAATCTTTTGCTTCAGATTTATAAAAATTATAAAACAATATCATCATAAAATCACATATCACGTTTTTTTTTATATGAACCAATTTAATTTGTTACAACTTACAACCAATAAGTGATCACATATCACGATTCTCAAAGATTTTATTTTGAAAGCCCTAGAACTATGTTGACTAATCACCTTATCGGAACATTATTGTTGATTGTCAAACAAATCTCAAATCTTCTGATTTTTAAAATTTTAAGAAACTCATAATTCTAATCAATAGTTTTCTCATTTGTTTCAGAAAAATGGGGATGTCTAATAAGAAGATTCCACCTATTGACCAATTACTAGATTAGTAAATTCATTGGCTCTTTCGTCTTTTTCTAATATATTTTTCGAATTTCACAATTAGTTTGTTTATGAGCTTTATTTTTGTTGATTTTGTTTAAGAAAGTTTAAGCAATCTTCAAATCCATAAGAAGGTACCTTTTTCTATTGAGAGTATCATTTGGTATTTGAAAATATGACACAATGTACGTTGTGTAATCTCAACTGGTTTGTGGTTAGGAAACCAATACATCAAACGAGTCATAAGATGTAATCATAATTAGAG